GCCCTGCTTTCGAGCCATTCAAATTGCTTTGTTATACATTGCTGTGCCTTAAAAAAAAAATTCATCATTTCTAAAAATGCTTTCTTTTTCCCAGAAATTTTTAAAGTGTGCAGTGCAGGAAGAGACAGGAGGAAGAAGGGACTGGATTGTAAGAAAATGGTCCCTTGTGATCTGGTGACCCAGCCTGACAGAGCAGATGTCATAAGACTCCAGTTATTTTCCAGCCCTGGTGTGGCAGTGGTGTGACCAGCAGCCAGTCATACCACCCTGCCTTTCACAACCTTGCAGAGACACGTCAGTCAGCTCTCTGAACCAGTTTGTCAGCTTCATCAGTCCAGCACACAAGCGTCTGAGCGTCTGAGCAGCAGGCAACTCTAAGAGGACAAAGCTGAGAGAAAATGAAAGGAAAAAACCTAAGGAAAAAACTGTAATTACTCTCCTGAATCAATGGAATAGACACTCACTGACTTTAAAACAGCAAGTTTCAAAGAAACACTGATGACTTTAAGAATCAAGAAAGCATGTCATCAATAACTGAAATAGAACCACTGTGTACATAACACACAGCAGTGTTTCCAATCACCCGCGTGGGTCCCACTGTCATGAGTCACCGTGTCTCAGCCTCCTTAGGCTCTTAATGCATTTTCAGATGGACACTACCAGTGCTCAAGGACATAATCCAATCTGTAGGGGAAAGGGTGGGACTGGAGGGCATCCTGTGAGTTAAGAAAATAAGCCAGACAGAGAAAGTTATCTGAGGGGTGTGTGTGTGTATGTGTGGTGCATGTGTGTGTGTGTGCATGTGTGTGGTGTGTATATATGTGTGTGATGTATGGTGTGTGTGTGTGTGTTATGTATGTGTGTGTGCATGTGTGGTATGCGGTGTGTCTGTGGTGTGTGTGGTATGTGTGTGTGTATGGTGTCTGATGTGTTTGTGTGTGCGCATGTGTGTGATGTGTGTGTTGTGTGTTGTGTGTGTCACAAAAGTAAATGAGGGACTATGTGAGGGGACCAAGGGGTCCAAAGGTATGGAAGGGGAGGGAGGAAGGGAGGGAGGGAGGGAGGGAGGGAGGGAGGGAGGGAGGGTGATAGGAGGTTAAAGGGAAGACAAATATTGCATGTTTTCTCTCTGTGTGGAGTCTATAGTTAAATACAGACATAAAAGCAAAAAGGGGGAGAATGCAGGGGCCCAGAGAGACAAGAGAAGGGGAGAGGGGTGGATGTCACCAAGAGTAAAGGTGTGCACCAATGAGAAATCATAACGAAGCTACCAGTTCAGGAAGCACTCTGTTATTAACTAAACATGCTAACAAAACCCAAAAGAGCTAAGGGTGTAGCTTACCTGATGCAATACTTGCCTAGCTTGCAGGAAGCCTGGCTGGATCCCCAGCCACACTGTGTACAGTAGTAGGAAGCCTGGCTGGATCCCCAGCCACACTGTGTACAGTGGTAGGAAGCCTGGCTGGATCCCTGGCCACACTGTGTACAGTGGTAGGAAGCCTGGCGGATCCCTGGCCACACTGTGTACCGTGGTAGGAAGCCTGGCTGGATCCCCGGCCACACTGTGTACAGTGGTAGGAAGCCTGGCTGGATCCCCGGCCACACTGTGTACCCTGGTAGGAAGCCTGGCTGGATCCCTGGCCACACTGTGTACCGTGGTAGGAAGCCTGGCGGATCCCTGGCCACACTGTGTACCGTGGTAGGAAGCCTGGCTGGATCCCCGGCCACACTGTGTACAGTGGTAGGAAGCCTGGCGGATCCCTGGCCACACTGTGTACCGTGGTGCACATCTTCTAACTGTGGCACTTGAGAGATGGGAGCAGAAGGGTCAGGAGGTCAAGGTCATTCTATTTTCTATAGCAGGGCTTAAGGGAAGAAAGGTATAATCCAAACGTTACGTCCGTTACGTAATCTCTCACACATTCCCTTTGGGCAGGTGAAAGGTTTAGCGTGCTGCGCCATTTTTCTGGTGATGATCCGTATCTAAGCTGCACTGTGCCCCACAGAGAGCCTGGGTTCCATTCATTTGAGCAGACATCGTGTTAGAGTACTCACCTTTCACACAGGCCCAGAAGGACAGCCCATTTCCACATAGAGCAGGCCACCAGTGTCTAGCCTACATTGATGGCGGCCATACACCAGCTCAAGAATAAGGCCAAGGCCTTTCTCGATTTCTGTTCCAGACATTTGTACCCAGTCATCAAGTACACTTCTTTTGGGTAGCTAAACAACCTGAGAAAATTTGCATAAAGGTACAAAATCTGATTTAAAAAATAAACATCATGAAGGGTCATACATAACACTAAAAGGTATTAAATAAGCATTTGATAGATGAGAAGCAGTTGGCTTATTAATGAACTGGTTTTTTTCTTAACAATAACTTGTGTGCCTTCTCAGTGCAGACCCCTCTGTCATTAAGAGTGTAGAAGGCATGCTGTAAACACAGCTTTTTCTCTGTGAGCTTACTTTGCACAGTTGGGGAGACAGATAATAGCACAAATACCCTCACAGCTAACCCAGGAAATATATAGTAAGTCAGGAAAGGCAGGGAGGGTAGGGAGGGGATAAACTTCAAGAGATACAAAGGCCCTGGGTCAGAGACATAATTGTATCCATCGGTGGCCCAGGGCTCAGAAGGGGGGCTGAGACATGCATGGTAGGAGGTGAACCAGGAAGTTGACACAGCAAATCAGATGTGACATGATAATGATCTCAGCTCAATGCCTGAGCAAACTTCAAGGTCAGAGCTTATTCAATAGAGGAGTGCGGTTGGGTAGTCCCTTGAGATACCTTACCTTATTTTTTGATAAAATAATAGTATTAGAGTCATTCATCTTCAGCAGACACATTTCACATTAGAACTTTGACTTTTTCCCTATTCTCATGATACTGGGCAGGGCAGCAGGCAAAATCTCCTGGTCAATCTTGTGATTCAAAGAGAAACAAAGGCCACCTGCAGTGTGCTGCTCTCTGGGGGGACAGAACCTGCAGTGTGTGCTCTGCTGTCTGTGAGGACAGACCCTGCAGTGCTCTGTGCTGTTCTCTGTGGGGCAGACCCTGCAGTGCTCTGTGCTGTTCTCTGTGTGGCAGACCCTGCAGTGCTCTGTGCTGTTCTCTGTAGGGTCTGTAGCTCAAGTGTGTTCTATGTAGTTTTAAATTTACTTTCCTTTTATTTGTGTATGTATGGTGTGTATATGTGATTTACACCCATTTGTGTGCACACACAGAGACTAGAACAAGATATTGAATGTCTTACTTGATCATTCTTTGCCTTATTTCCTTGAAACAGGGTGTTTTTCACTGAGTCTGAAGCTAGGCTGGTACTTCGAAAATCCTAATAATTCTCCAACTTCTACTGGCCACTGGAATCCCCCACAACAGGGGTGTGACAAGCATGCCCAACCTTTTAAAAGTTGCCGAGGATTTGAACTCAGGTACTCATGCTTGCACTGTAAGTACTTTTATGCACTGAACAATGTCCCCAGTCCTCAGGGTAGTGTGTGTGTGTGTGTGTGTGTGTGTGTGTGTGTGTGTGTGTGATCATGTGCACAAGCATGCATGCATGCACATGTACATGGTTCACAAAAATAATACCATGAATGCCCATGCAAGGCCAAAACTGCACATCAGGTATCTTCTACCATTCTCTACCTCAATGTCTCTAGACACAGTCTGTCACTGAGCCAGAAGACCACTGCTTTGGATAGAGATACCTTCACCCGTCGCCGGTCCTGATGTCGGAATTATAGTCATGTTCAGTCATGTCTGGCTCTTTGCACAGTGCTGGAGATTCCAACCCGGGTCCCTATACCTTATCAGAGTGAACATGCTCTGGATATGGTAGCACACTGCAATCCCAGTGTTCAGAATGAGGCAGGATTGCAGGTTCTAGGATGAGTTTCTATCTCCCCTGTTCAGGAAAAAACCATTTAGATGGTCTGCTTATCAATCCAAAGTTCTGGAATCCCAGTATGCACAGCTCAATTGAGTTGCCACGTTTCTAGAGCCCACTATGGCTCATGGGCCCACACTGGCCGGCATAGGGCTAGGGTGACCAAGAAGTCACTTGCACTGACAACTAGCTCCAAGGAATTCTCTTTTTGAGATAGGGTCCTATTATGTAGCCCAGGCTAACCTGAAGTTCATGGTCCAGCTGCTTGAGCACTGGGACTGACCAGCTTTAGGTAATTTCTGAGATGCCAGCACATGGGAGGTGGTCGTAGAAAAATCTGAGTTCACTAAAAGACTTTAACCTCGGGGTCTGTACACTTCAGGAAGAGGCTGTGCTGAGAATAACCAAATACATTAAGTGCACATAGTGAAGAGAGTTTTGCAACCCAGTTCTACTTCCTGAGTCCTTGAATAAGTTAGCTAGTCAAACACCCTTTCCCGTATTTGCAGAATGCAGATAACAGAGTCAGCCCCTGTGATGCTGTTCTGGGGAATGTGTACACAGAGATCTGTACCTGTAACGTATTTCTCAAAGTAAAACTCAACTCTTTACACAGCAGTACATCACATACTTCCAAACGGGAATGCACACAGAAAGACCCAAGAGCTGTAGATAACCTGTGACGGGCAGTACAGCACATTCTAAAGCTGGGAGTGTCTCTGCGCTTGTCCAGGGTTCAGATTTTCTCAACCCAGCAGACCTCAGTGCATGGCAGGTCCTCCATACTCTAAATGAAAGTTCCCTTGGGTTTTGTGGATGTTATAATCACACCATTTATAAGCTTGATTCTTCCTTTATACTATAAAATTTATGTAGCTATCTTTTAATAGGAATAGTCTCAAATTCTTGAGTTGACAAAGTTCGACTGATGAAGGGCAAGCTTAAATGACCGAACATGTACTTGCTGCAAAAGAAGCTGGCCACGCCTACAAATGTCGAGAATATACCAGCCATAGGGAACCCTGAAGAACACCAGAGAGTTTTATAATTCCCAGTAGTTATAATGTGTCATCAATTTCCAGTTCCTTGAAGAACCCACGCACATATCATGAGTTAGCACAAACACGTTTATTTACTAAACAAAGGGATGATCCTGGGCAAACCAACAGTTTGACACGGGTTCATGTAAGGTGTTTGTAATAAAGAGAACTGAACAGTCATGAAAAATAAAACCAAAGAAGTGAAGCCGTGTGTGTGTCTATGGCCTGCTCACTGAATTGGGCTCTTCACTCTGGCAGCGGACGCCTGTCCAGGATGACAATGAGGTCCTCACTGCACCTTCTCATAGATCCGAGTGCAGGTGGCATTGTTCATGACACATTCCTAGAAGAGAGATACAGACCCAGGCTGACTGTACACGTCAGAGCGTGTGTTGGGGGCAGAATCCTATAAAAGCTTATAACAGACCTGGCTAACAGAAAAAGCACGTTTTGGGATTTCTGGACTTGAGAAAACCTGGGACCTGCTTTTTTGTTTATATGTACATTTGCTACCCTGCAGACTAAAACACTGGATATCCTCTCTAAATTACTCATGTGGTTTTGGCAAATGTCCCTTATTTTAAATAAATGGGGGGAGGGAGATATACGTTCCAGGAGAGGGCTACACGGTAGCCTGCCAGCTCTCACAGAGGTACTGCAGCACAGGGAGACTGCTCAGCCACTTCCTGGGAATCACATCACTTCTCTGTCCCCACAAGGCCTGCCTCAGTAATGAGGGCTCCTGTTTCTAACTTGTTATTTGGAGTACTTTCCTCCTAAGTCTCCTTCTCTTGTTAAAAAGCTAGCAGCCAAGGATGGTTGTGATGACTGCAGCTGCAAGCACAGATCCCAGCAGGACACACGGCCCTTCATACTCACCACCACCAGCTTCCCGTCCTTCAGCTTCCTTGTTATCGTGCTTTCCTTCCCGTCCCACTTCTGGTGCTGGACCAGGGCGCCATCGGTGAAGGTGCAAACCGTCTGCAAAAACGCAGGGTACTTCACAATCTTCCAAAGTACAGGAAGCCCCATAACCCACACCACCCCAACACGTCTTCACCTTTCCGTCTCTACTTCACCATACTGATTTTATTCACAATAACTATGTGCATTTCGATCTAGAGACTCACAACATGTCTCCACTTCATAGTCCTGGGACTTTTACTAATTTATCAAAATTCAACTCCATAAAGTAATTTTTTTCACTCAGCCCTTGGCAATAAGTACAGATGTTGTTACTACAATGTAACCTGTCATTCTAGAAGCTTCTGTCACCTCACAGCATGTTGTAGCTGACCTCAGTTTTTCTGCCATCTGCCGTAGTTTCATCGAACTTCTCCCCCAGGGTACAAGAGAACACTGTCGTCTTCACTGTGCTCTCGGTTTTGACTGTGATGTTGTTGCCGTCACAAGTAATGATACAGTCTGGTTTGGCCATGGCACCCATCTTCCTAAGAGCCAGTCCTACTCCTGTGGACAGGAGATAACACAAGGAGCAGTTAGAATTTGCACGATACAAGCAAGGATTTATTTGTAGTCACCCCACTTGCCAGCCTCGTCTTACTGACTCACTGACATGTGATTATCTACCATGTTACACACATTACACACGTAAGCCTCATGGTCATCCTGAGATGGGGCCAGCAGGGGTGATGTCTCCGCTGGACAGATGAGAGCCGGGCAAGCACCTTTAGCCAGAAGTGACAGAACTCGAGGCCAATAGTGTTGACAACTTGACTCTAAATCTCAGCTACTAGCCACTGAGCTACTGGTCCTCTCCTTAACCTTAAATAATGAAGCTGACACACATGTAATTCCAGTATTCAAGGCACGGAGGTAAGAGGGTCAAGAGTTCAAGGTCAGCCTAAGCTGCATAGAGACTATGTTCCCCAAACAACAATGTAAGTATAAAAGCAGTTGGAGTGTGTTTTTAAATAAGCTTCCCATCTAAACAGCAGTGTTTTAACTGAGGAACAGGGCTCTGATGTTCATAAGTAGAGGGAAAGATACACCCTGGGAAAGAACAAACATTTCAAAGCTGGGTGACAATGTAACATTTTCCGTGGTGAGGCTCTTTCTGTGCTATCTGAAAACACCAAACTATTCGAGTATCTGGTTGATTTTTAGTTTGTGTAGTTTGTTTATTCACAGTAGTTACACAGGTATGAAATTTCACATTACTGAGTTATGCATTAGTTTATGTACTTGTCCGTGGTGGTAACATTCATATGGAACCTAGGATATTTTCACAAGAAAGGAGACTCTGACCCAAGCAGAGTGACTCATCAGGATGCTCAGCCAGCCTTCCATGTCTCTCTGCAGTCTTCTGCTGTGCCCCTTCCTACGTTGTCCAATATCTATGGGTAAGGCCTATTACCTTCCTAACTCCAGAATCCGGAGAACTAGCCACTCACTCAGAACTGGCCACTCAAGCATAAGCACCCAGCTGCTTTCAAACAGTGCTCTCTACTGGTTCTCACTCGCACCTGTGTGGCTTCCTGTGCACAGACGGCTGGGCTGAGGCCAGCAAACGGCACTTTCCAGATTTATCCTGATTTAGTCTTCCAGTGTGGACAAGGAAAGACACAAAACCCTAATGCATTCACATTCTGACAATAGTATAAACACAAACATGATTCATCAGGAACCAGACTTAGCCCCATAGTGTGTTGGATGTTTAAAAGAATGAAGGCCGGTTCTGAACGTGCAGGGATATTGGGAACAGCACCCCGTGAAACTGCCTCCTACTACCAGCAGTACTTCTTCAGAGAGAATGGCTGTTTTGTTAACCCCATCCTGCTTCCTAACATCTGTGACAAAGGTCCATTTCGTTGTCTGTTCTGTGTGTCTACCAACACATTCTTACCTTAAGAGTAGGCAAAAGTGGCAACAGACAACAAAGCACTATTTCCAGTGAGGGCGAACTTGAACCTTGCTCACTCTCTGGTTAGGCTTTAGGGAGCAAGTGCCTGCTGCAAAGCCACACCCATCTTGGAACAGTTGGCAACCACAGGCCAGCAGCAGCAGCAGTTTCTGATTATAATTTTCCAGCCAAGCCCAGGTCTCCTTGCTCCTCATCCTCCAGAATCAAGAGAAAGAACCAGAACAGAACGGTCGCAAGACTATAGACATGCACAATGGGTGTCTGCGCTTCGCCCACAGGCCACCTGCTATCGCCCGTGCAGCGCCACGGGTGCCACGCCTAACCAGTGGCGAGGAGAGGACCTAAGAGATGCTGTGGAGAAAGGGATCTAAGCCGCATCATTCATAGCCTCTAAAGAGCTTCTGCAGAAACCACGCCCTACCACGCGGTGTCCTCTCAGAGCCGGGGGAAGGAGACTGGCGCCATCGAGGAACAAAAGATGCGGCAAGGTGGGAAAGGAGAGTGTGCTGCTACCCCGGGGATTGGGTGGTGGGGCAAGGACAGTGGCACCAGGTGAGGACAGAAAGAGGAGTGGGGATAACATTAAGGAGCAGCTGAGGGGCTGTTTGTAAGGGGTTCATAGCAGTATGGCTGGCACGCACCTGTGAAGGACCGGAAGCAATGAGGGGGCTGTCTTGGGGGCAAGAAGCAGAAAAGGAGAGGAGCGAGGTGACCCACCACGTCCGGAGCCCGCGGCAAAGGCGGGCTCTCCATTCTAACCACGTCACGGTGCTCAGCGCAGCTCCACCGGCCGCGTGGTGGAAGGGAACCAACGCATCCACACAAGGATGAGGTCCCAGGGAGGGGTTCGGCGATAAAGTCTCACCTAGCTCTTTCATGTACTCCTCAAAGCCGTGGCTTTCCAACAGGCGCCACTTCCCTTCGAGGTCCTTAAGGCTGGCCATGGCGAGAGGGAGAGCACAAAAGCAGCAAGGAGACGCGGTGGCGGGGGGCGCTGTTCGGCTCCTGGCGCCATCTGCGCTTATATCCGTTGGTGTGGGGGGTGGTGTCGGGCAACCAATAGGAGGCACGCCTCCGCCTGGTACCGCCCCTCGCCACGCCCGGACTCGTGCGCCTTGGGCTGTGCCGGGGGTCTGAAGGTGCCACCCTGGCTGCGCCGGACTGGCGCGCCACACGTCTCCCACAGCAACTGCAAGCTGCGACTCGCCTGGCGCGCCCTTATGCCTTCCTGAGTGACAGCTCCGGCACAGTACCCCCACACACACCGCCATCCGGGGACAGCGTGGAGCTCACCGGCCTGCGAGCCGTGGTGACACCGGCCTGCGGCTTTTACTAAGTACCTAGGAGGAACTAATTAGACATCGCTTGGCGCTTTGGAGTTGAATAGCTGATTACTGAGTTAATTAATAAACTGCAGTCTCCTTAACCTTGACAGTCCCTCACGAAAGAACCTTCTGACCCCACCCTCCCACCTCCTAGGGCCTCACCAGAGCCTCTTTGTTGTCTGCTAGACAATCCTGGCAGCAGCCTCTGAGTGAGATTAGGATGCTCTACAAATTCGTTTTCTCCACTAAACTAGCAAGTTTCAGCTTAGGTAACTGCCACTTCCTGAACCATCTTACTAGCTTCTATTCCCCAATTAGAGATCAAAACTATTACTTCACTCCATCCTTTGAGGATGTCTGGCCCAGCTACCAATTAGTAAATTGCCTAGAATACATTGACTATAAAAATCATATTATCACTTTGATATGCACTGAAGTCCCACAAGATATAAGGCTCCAAAGACAGTCAGGTGACTGGAGCTGACAGACAGATGACCACAGAACCTGAGTGTGTGTGGAGGGTGGGGGGGGGGGGATGGGGGGGGGGGAGGGGGGGCCATGGGAAATACAGGGAGACAAAGGGAGCACATTTTATGAGACAATCAGAAGAGGAATTGAATAAAGTTTATGGAGAGGCAGAATTAAGCCTGGGTTTAATTCATATAGCCCAGGCTAGCCTCAAACTTAATATGTAGCTAGCTCCTGCTCATGGGTCTCCAGCTACCCTGTGCTGACATTACAGGTGTGGCCAACATACCCTGCTGAAGTTGTCATTACACAGTGAAAGTCAAGAGTATCCACCAGTAGTGAGGGCCTATCGCACAGTTACTGAGTCTCGCTTTCAGTGTCAGTTTTGATAAGTTACCTCTGACATTCCTTGCTTTGTTGGGGCTCAGGTTTGTATTAGGTAACTTTGCCCAACTACAGACTAATGTAAACATCCCGAGTCTGTTTGAGGGCAGCTGTGCCATGATTCTTTAATGGGTTGGTATATACAATAACTCCAAATGAATTTATTCACACACAAGCCCCTCTTAATTGAAGGGCTTCTGTACTTCAGTAATGCTGATCTCCCAGCTAAGGAGATGACTCCAGGAGTGAAAGGTTACTTCAGATCCCCAGCACCCACATGAAAGCTGGGTGCAAGTGCCTACAACCCTAGAGCTGAGGGATAGGTGGGCAGATCACTGGAGCTCACTGTTCAGCCCATCTAGCCATTTGACAAGCTTCAGGTTCAGTCAGAGATCCTGTCATTAAGAAAGAAGGTGACAGACAGCTGATGTCAACCTCCATCTCCACACACATGTGTACACATACAGGCCTGTGAACACACACACACACAACAATTTATACTTACAATATTCTTTGGCTTAAGAACATCTTTTCAAAGCTATCTAAAGACCTGCAGCTTCTCAGACCAGCTCAAAATATGCCAGACATACATGGTGGTGCGGTATTTTTATCTGCTAAGGCATTGATGTGTCCTGAGCCCCAACATCGCACTGACTGAACCCATCAGTTCTCTTGTGTATGGAGTGACTTTTCTCAGAGTGTCATTTTTACAGACTCTTACTACCTGCTCCCACACCTCATTGGAGGTAATATGGGCTGAATTAAAATGTCTCCACCCAGACGGGCTATTACCATGAAAACAATGTCAGCTTATTGAGTTTCTACTATGCACTTCGTGGTCCTTTTTGGTGTTTACAAAGATGAACTTTAATGCCCAGCCATTATTGAAGAGGTTATCCCAGTTTCTCAGGAGAGGAAACGAGGCTAGGAAAGTGGGTGCTGTAGAGTAGTAGAACTGGAATCTGCACTGAGGACTTTCTCACGAAAGACCTTGTGAAACAGGACCACACCTGCCTGTCCTTTGTTCGTGATGCTTGTGAGGGAGGTAAGAGCAGAGGCCACAAGACACTCTGCCAAGACACTAATTATTTTATCATCCCTCACACAATTAAAATCCGAGAAGCATCCTGCATGCTGCGAGACATCCCACAGCCTGCATCCCCTTTATTACAAGTTTCTACTCCAAATTTTGGGTTGGAACCCTGGTGTCCCACAGCCCATTTACACATTGACTTGGCCATGTGGGTGTCCCAGTAAAGGCCTGCATGCCCACACCTGAGACCCCGCTTCTCAGAAAGCAATGGTGTTCTGAAAGATGCTAAGGAAAGCTCTGCTTCTTTTAGATTGAAAGTCCCAGGCTGGTCGGCTCCCGTGTGTCTAGACTCTTCCTCATTGAGTGCTGTCTCCATGTTTTCTGCAGTGTTGGATCCAACCTGGTGATGATAGCCAAGATACAGTATATTAATTCTTAGATTCTCATAATAAACCAAGTCATAGAAATGTCAAAAGCAGAGAGGCAGTAGTTAAAAATAGTTCGAATCCTCGAGTGTTACTTAAAACCTAACTTTTCTCCTTTTTTGCAGTACTGGGGACTTGACTCGGGGTCTAACATACACTAGGTAAGGATTCTGCCATAGAACTATATCCACAACCCTCTTTTGACTGTTTAAATTTTGAGATAAAGCTTCACCAGGCTGCACAGACTGACCTACAACTTTCAGACCTCCTGCTTCAAGCTCCTGAGTAGCTGAAAGGATAGCCTTATGCTAGCCTCTGTGTGTGTGTGTGTGTGTGTGTGTGTGTGTGTGTGTGTGTATGTGTGTGTTCGCTTGCATGTTTAGGAATGTGCATACACAGGAATGTGTTAAGTATGGAGGTCAGCTTCCTGTATTCCTCCAGAGCTGTCCACATTGTTTTGTTTGTTTGTTTTGAGACAGGGTTTCTCACCAGAACCTGGAGCTGGATAATTCTGTGCTAGGATAGCTAAGCCTGTGAGCCCCTAAAACTTAACTTTAGACGTAATTTTTGCTTTGATGGGTAAAGTAATTCTCTTCTAGATAAGTGCACCTTAGAGAGGTGGAAATCTGAAGTACCCGCCATTGTCTGATGAAAACAAGGACATGTCTACCGCTGTATCATGAGGGTACCAGTCCATCAGACTCCTGGGCGCCTCACCTGAGCATGTAAGAAGTATAGTGCACAAATGTGCACACATGTAGTTCATCTGGAATTCTCCTTCATCATTGGTTTTCATTTACAAATTCTATTTCAACTGCTGTGGCTTTTTATATTAACAATAAAGCATGACAGTGCATTGCAGGAAGTTTAGAAAATGCAGGGAAGCACAAAGAAAATAAGAATCCGTCTATAAGCCTACTACTTCAATAAGTATTTGGAGAAATGTGGTATTCCCTTCCAGTGCTTTACTGTGTGTGTTTGTGTGTGTGTGTGTTGTGTGTGTATGTGTGTGTGTGTCGATTTGCATGTGTTGTATACACAAAAACCATGACTGCAATCTTTAACATTCACACACTTTTCTGTCCCGCGATTCATAATTTCATACATCATGCAAATATTGGCTGTGACTGTTTCTGACATACACAGTAGGTTGAGAGTATGGCTACCATTTCACTGCGCAGTTGCTGTTTTGTTCTTTTGAACATGCTCAATACTATGCACACAAAGCCTGCCTTTGAAACAGATGCTGTCTTCAAGCCTGTGGGTACGCTCACATTCTCACAGGTCTCTGACCACAGAGCTCACCCTTAGCCTACAGGGCCATCTCTAGTGTAAATCTCTTAGTATTTTCTTAGGCATGTCCTATCTCTTAGGAGCAGTCAATTCTGTCTGAACCGATGGCTTCAATACGGTGCACTCTTCCTTTTGGAATGAGCCCAAGCTAATGTTCAGATCTGAAGAAGCCAACAGAAAATCCATGTGAAAGGCCTAAGACTCTTGTCTCACCTAAACAGGGAACCTAACAATTCACTTCTAAGCATGCAGTCCTCTCCTGTGAAACCCATAGCACCTGTGTTACCCAGCTCTTCCTCAACAACAGCTGCAAGGACTTATCAATGGCCACATTAAGCAGGGCTCTCTATGGGTGGAAAGAATGAAGGCTCAAGAACTCCTTACATCTTTTCCTCTAGCCACTGCAAACAGATGAGGCCAGTGCAAAGTTTCTGAGCCCTATCTATGCACGACTCAGACAATAGCTCCTGGCCCTGAATGGAGAGCCTCAAAATCACTCTATTGCCACCTAGTGGTGGTAGCGAAACATTTCTCCTGGGCCTTATTTGATTAGCAGTGATGGCCTGTTTTGTTCTCATTTGTGGACATAGGTGGGTAGCTTTGGAACACGGAGTGTGATTTCATTTACAGACACCCCAGTGGCTGTTGTGTGGGCAGATACACCTCTTACACGGTTCCTCATCCTATAAAATCATTCCTAAGGGCAGTAAGTATCAGTGCCCTAGAATGCAGCTGCTTTAAAAAAAAAAAAAAAAAAAAAAAGAGGAAACACCACGTTAAAGAAATGATGGCATAGAATACCCAAAGTAATTCAGGTTTAGACAGCTAAGCATTCTTTAAGTGCCTGGCAAAATCCATTTAAAGAGCAGAAGAGCTAATCATAAAGAGTGCTCTGTCTACAGTGGCACTTCTCATGTTTTAGCGTCCGGACAAGCCTACTTTGTAAGACTGCATAATCAGATCCAGTAGGTCCAAAGCAGGGCCTGGGTTCTTCTCATCTACTGATTCCTTACTAGTGTTAATACAAACAAAACAAGACAAAAACTAAGATAGAATAGCAGACATTAAAG